ATGGTGTGTGTGTGTGTGTGTGTGTGTGTGTGTGTGTGTGTGTGTGTAGGAACACTTGGGTACCGGGACTGCTGGGACACGAATCTGGGAGGCACGAAGAAGTTGGTCTCAGGCTAGAAGGGGTCGGTGCTGTGAGGAGTCGGGAAATGGTTGGCCCCGGTACTGCCCTGGCGGCTGGCTGCGGCGCTGTGTAGCAGCGCGCTGGGGTCTGGGGGCATCCGGTCATCCTGGGCCGTGAGTTCAGGGCATTGCATTGGAGCCTTTGCAGGTGTGCTCTCTCCCATGGCCTGCTCCGTAGGAGTCCTTCTCTCTTCTGAGATGGGGGTTGCCTTGGGGCTGATAGGAGTGGGTGGAGCTGCTTGCCAAATCCTCAACAGTAGCCTTCCCCCTTCCCCTTGACCTCAAAGTAGGGGAAGTTAGTGCCTGCAGAGTGCTCAGGTCACCCCTCCCTGTTGGTGAAGGGAAACCTGGGGCCTAGGCCATCAGAGCACCCCAGCACCCCTACATTCCCTCTACATTCAGTCAGCCGTGTGGAAGGCCAAAGCACCCTTGTTTCCAGGGATCCTCCTGGGCCCTGGCACCCTCAGAATGAAGCGCATATTCCCCCATGATGGCCCCATTTGCCCTTTCACCTCCTCTCTCAGCTGTCTCCAAGCTTTGTCTCATCCTGAGGATCCATAATGTCTGGGGGTCAGGCCTTGGAAGCCCAGGCTACCAGACAGATTTCCCCTCCCCTCTTATTGCATCCCCACATCTCTGAACTCCACTTTTGGACTACCAAACATGGTCTTCAGTTCATTCAACAAAGCATGGTTGAGAGTCTGTGGGGTGCCAGGAGCTGTTGCAAGCATTGTTCCAGGCTCACAGCTGGCTGTCAGCTCTGTGTGGTCTTAGAACCCAGGCTGGACATGTAGTAGATGCTCTGTAGCGTTTATTAATCTGAGCTTGATCTCTGCTTAGCAGCATTATTCAGGCAAACAGGAGTTCAAGGCCACTGGTGCATTTGGAGGTTTGTGGCAGCCTCTAGGAAGAAAGGGGCTGCAGAAGGGTTGGCTGCCCAGGGAAGTTCCCCGCTTTACCAGCTGGGCAGCTGTGCAAATCTCTGAGGACAGGTGAGGGCGCCTCCCTTCCGGTGACTGGGAGTGGGAGGACAAAGCACGTGTTCTGTGTGGGAGAGGAGGGGGCCCTGCCCTGCAGGTCCTGGTGGTAGTGAATTCCCAAGGAGGGGAGGGAGCAGGGAGTTCTCTAAGCTCTGGCTTGTGGAAACATTTCCTGAGGTCTCACTCTAGGTTACAGTGCGCTCAGGGATTTGACTTGTTATTTGTTTAACTTCAACTGAGATAGAATTCAGTTTGGCAATGCCTGTAAAGTGCCATTGTGCCGGTCCTGGGAAACCTTTGCTGGTTTTAAAATGTGTAGTAATAATTAAGTTGATTGAGACTTAATGATTGAGACTTACACCACATACTATCCTAGAAGCTTTACTTGTATTCATTCATTTCATCCGTGAAACGACACAGTATGGTAGATAATGTTAACGTCCCATTTTACAGATGATGAAACTGTGGCCTAGAGAGGTCACAGAGTAACTTGCTTAAGGTCTGAATGTGAACCGGGTTTCCTCATACCTAATTAGATAATGCCTTCCTCTCAGAAGTGAATAAAGTTGATTAATACACTGAACAAGCCTGGCCCACAGAGGAACTAGTAAGTTCTTCAGTGCAGGTGCCCTTATGTTCCCTGCTTCTGAAAGCATCTCAACTATCTGGGCACATAGCAGGTTGACTGGTGATGTAGCTTTTGTCTCCCTAAGGCCAGGGAATGGGAAGACCGGCATGGCCATGCACAGTAAGAGCGAGTCATTGCCTGTATCTGTCTAGATAGATCAGAGTTTGCTGTGGTAACAATCCTCAAATCTCGGAGAATTAAAGCAACAAAGGATTATTTCTTATACCACATCCATCGCGTGTCTGTTTTATGTTGTTCTCACCGTGGGACCCATGCTGATTAAGTGAAATGTTCCTGGTCACTTGGACAGACGGACAGAGAACATGATGAATCTCACCCTGGCTCTTAAAGCTTCCACCCGGAAGTGGCATTTCAATGGTCGAAGCAGTCACATGGCCACGTACTTCCCTGCAGGGTGGGGAGCAAAAGAGGACTGGGAACATTTGGTGAACAGCACTGATGCCTGCCATCTGCCCACCACTGTGCCTTCTCTGTGACTTCCCAAGGTCTGGGTCTGAGTGTCGTATGTTTCTGTGTCACCATGAACATCGATCATGAATTAGTCAAAGAAATGTTATTTAGGTTAAAGATGAATTGAGGTGCCACATTTGAAGGGCAGAGGTATGGTGAACAAAAATGCTTATTAGGGTAGTAAGAGGTTGTCTGCAGAAGCAGCTTGCTCCTCTGACCCTGGGCAAGTTATTTGAGCCCCTTGGGTCTTCTTTTGCTCATTCATTTATTCATGCATTAGTTTATGAGCCCAAGGACTAGTGATGAGTCCCAGGCCAGGGATTCTTACTAAGCACTTGTTTAGCTCCTAGCCTGGTGCTGGGGGCTGTAAACTGGGTTCCAGGATTCCTGTTTCCTGCTGCTGGGTCCTGGTGGCCTTTAAGGAAGGATATTATTGCCTATGGGAAGCGAAGCAGGCTCCTGCTCTTTCTCTCTGCCCTGGCACATGAGCCCTTGGACTTCTTGGACTTCCTCATGCTCTATCTGTATGTGGCGAGTAGGGGCAGCCACCTTTCTTGGAAGCAGGAGCATGTAGAAGCACCTCTATAGGCCTTGCCCTTCCCCTTCCACCTGTGAGACTCTGGGGCTGAGCCTGCAGGCCTAGGGGTATGGAAAGGTAAGGTGGTGAGGTTACTAAAGGATGGAGCCACACGAGGACAGGCTTGAATATGGGGCTGGGGTGGTTCTCTGTCTTGCGAAGTGGTTTAGAACCCCTTTGTTAATTGCATTTTTCCACCCGGGCCACGCTTGCAGGGTGTCAAAGAGCTGGCTACCCTGTGGACCTTGCTTTTGTGGTTTGTCACCGACTTTGTCCCTGGTGACTTCCAGCAGGGTCAAGAAACACTGGTGGAGGTGGTGGGACTTCAGGTTCTTCTGCTCGTGGTTAACGTACTATCCTTAGGCTTGTCTCCTCCTTTTTCAGGGCTTCTGTTTTCTCTCCTACCTGGAATAGAGGGAGAGGTAACGGTGGTCTACAGCAGTGGTCCCATTCTTGGCTGGCCATCGGAGTCCTTAGGGGACTGTGTAGACCTGTGCTTTGAAAATCTTTGGTCTAAGTGAATGCCAGCATTCCTGATTTGTCTTATCTTCATTATAGCAGTGGGATATTCATAATGTCTCAACATCTGTTTTCTCCCTTAAGGGCATGTTTTTTTTTTTTGGTTCAGACAGGGCAAGTGGCTGTGTTGGACCAGCAAAGGGCCTGGCTAGTAGGAAATGTTTAGTGCCGATGAAACAACGATGAGTAATGTTGTCCAGCACCTAGAGTGGACAGTGGTGAGGCCAGCTTTAGAGTTGTATCTACTTTCTAGCTGAGTAGAAGTCAAGTCTTTGATGTTTTTTCTTTCTTTTTTTCTTGGATTTGGTTTTCTTATCTGTGAAGTGAGAAGAATCTGCCCTTCCTGTCCCTCGTGGGGTTACTGTGAAGCATACACCCTTCAGGTTTGAGAAGCAGTGTGTGCAGCCCCTGAGTTAGGGTGATACCCTGGTTTGGGACTGCTGCTGTCACGCTGACGGCTCACCAGCCAAGGATTCTGGGAAGCCCATTTCCTCCATTCTTGGACCTGGTGGGGTTGGCCAGGGCTGGGCCTGGCTGGGCGTTGCTGTGGTT